CAGTGAGTACTGAGTTATATTTTTTCTTTTGAATTAGTATCTCCGCAAACCCAGGCAGGTATTTATTTCTCAATGCATCCACGAGAATAATCATCGAGGTCTTTTCATCGCGTAATTGAAGTTTCCTCTCGCCGTTTGCAGGCTCCTCGGGCGTTCGCTCCCTACGTACGGTAAGGAAAGGGACGCAGTTTCACTTTCATTTTCAAAGTCATCAAAGTCATTTCCTGCTGCAGAAATCTGACAAATCTGTCACTCGCATGAATATTTTTGTGGAATAGATATTGTCATCATAGAATAATTAATTATACGTATGTGTCATTCTGGAATAGATGAATTATTGAACAGGACACGGCGCGTATTCTTAAAATCGAGTAATATCGGCATCGAAAATAGTTGAATTTTAGAAAAATTCAGTTCAGATAATAAAAGTCAAATTTTACTGGCACCAAAGTTTCCCTACACTACATATCGGACCATTTCAGTTCACTCACCGTATACACGTTCACTCGAGTCGCGCTGCTTCTTCGTAAACTGCGTTGATGTTTTTTGCAATTATATTTGATTCTGCATTTTGGATATCATATATTCCCGAATAAGATTCAATCCGAAATTTTGTGGTCGCAATGCATGATTATGTTTTATTATGTATGTTAAATTGAAAATTTTGTACTCAGTAAGCGCCAAACGAAGCGTTTGACGTGTGACCCACGCAGATTTTCGACAACATTTTATCTCCATTATGCGCAGTATATAAGTTATAATTTACAGCGCAACAAATATAATGTTCACTGCACCGCGTGTCATTTGCAATGCATATATAGAGTGTCTTGTGCAGCGAATCATTGGTCATTTGCAACATATGAAGTATCATGTATGATGCAGCAATTATCAAGTATGATTTATCAAGTATCACGTACGATGCATCAAGTATCATGTATGATGCATCAAGTATCGTGTATCATGCATTAATTATCATGTATGAAGCATCAAGTATCATGTATGATTCATCAAGTATCATGTATGACGCATCAATTATCATGTATGATGCATCAATTATCATGTATGATGCATCAAGTATCATGTATAATTCATCAAGTATCATGTATGATTCATCAAGTATCATGTACGATGCATCAAGTGTCATGTATGATGCATCAAGTATCGTTTATCCTGCATCAATTATCATATATGATTCATCAAGTATCATGTATGACGCATCAAGTATCCTGTATAGTGCACAATTTACCATGTGCAGCGCATAGAGTATCATGTATAGTGCACCATTTGCCATGTGCAGTGCATAGAGTATCATGTATAGTGCACCATTTACCATGTGCAGCGCATAGAGTATCATGTACACACTACATGCANAAACTGCCTCCTAAACGCACGCTGGGTTGCAACGATAGACCGGCCACTAGAAAAGTACACAGAGACTGCGAACGCGCGCTCCTCTCTCGACCACTGCATGGTCGCAACTGAACTGAGTGGACGAAAAACTTCATAGCCCGCGCACCATATTGCGCATGGCGCCACCTTCCTAGGACTAGTGGCCGCCACGTGGCGCGCAATTCAAATAAGTAAGTTCCCGCGCCGCACCCTGTATTTTCCTTTCTGTGTGCTGCTCCCCTATAGGTAGCTATAACGTTACATTTCGCTCTCACTTTCATACGAGTAACCCACTGCAGCGGGTGGGGAGAACGTGAGGGGGGGGGGAACCCCTAAAGAGTGTTACTACGACAGGAAAATCGTTCATTGAAGCGTCGGAAGCACATCGTTGTCTCGTAACCTTGACGTGCCAGCCACGGGGGCGGGGAGCTGTGGTGGGAAGGAGGTTATCGCACTCTGAGCGATGGCTCTCGAAAGTTGCGTGAATTTCATACCTGACATTCACGAATTAAAATTCACGTTGATACATGAAGATCGCGTGCATTGGATTTTGACACCTACAAGTGAAGTATCATGTAACAGCAATTTAAACAATACAAATAATACATATAACAAGATATATATGAGAAATAGGCATGAACATTTATAGAATATTAACTTAACATATGAAACCGAAGAAGAAATAAAGTGGGTATAAAAGGCCCATTCCGATAGTGCGGGAAAATCGGGTAACACTTTTTATTCAAGTGCACGATAAAAGTTGGAATACTGGAACGATTGAATGGTCCAAATGTTGTAAGATAAAGTATTGAACGCATGACTTGTCTTACAAAATATTGAATATCATAACTCAACTGCCACTTGACTCGATGTGTACCGCAGCGTGCTAATGATGCATTTAGTTGTGAACCAATTCACTTAGATAATAGGGTACCGTCGTGTGGGCTTAATCTGACCACGCTTTTGTTATCTTTATGTTCGTTTCTTGCTGACGTGGCACTTGCACTCCATTGAACCTGCTTATGGCATCAGTTCTGCTTCAGTTTATGTATGCATTCTGAAATTTTGTTCCAAAGAAAATAAGACATATGTGTAGCAGCTAATTACAATGTTCAATAGTTGAATATGAGAAATTAGACCATATGCTACGAGATTGATTGCTTTCACAGTGTTTTCTATACTAAATTTAGGCTTAGCGTCGCTGCTCAATTCAATGATTCCCTTAGGTAAACAAACTATTATTTATATATAGAGAATTATTTTCAATGCTCGCACTTTTTTCAAAAGAAGTTATGCATATTCATGGCACTTTTAATGATGCAAAAAATTGATACTCTGATCATTATGCATAACTTACACAGGCAACAAACGACGATGAATATAATATACCAAGATGAACAAGATGAATTTTTAATCAGGAGTTGAATGCAATGAATGGATTAACTTGTGGTTCACGACGCTGTGTTTAGCTGCTGCGAACTAGCAGTGCTCATGCCGTGCGAGTGACGAGTGAAGTTCAGGCGCCGCTGATAGAGCAGTTCTCACTTCCGCATGCTGGGCGCAGAAAGCCAACCCGTGCTTGTGCCGGCACAACCTTGGGTCACAATTCTAGTGCGCCGGGGTGCCATTTGTTGCTGTTGTGTTGGTCATTTATGACACTTAGGTCATCTGTGACAATTTTGTCATTTGTGGCATTTTTTTATTCATGAAAATTTCGTCTTTTGTGGTATTTTTGTCATTTGCGACTTGGTGACCTTTTTGTCATTTGTGGCATTTTGTCATTTGTGAATGTTAGACTGTTTGTGACGATAAGGGCCTTTGAAACACTGGTATATTTTATGACTTGAGTAATTTTGCTGAAATTTAGAGATTTAAATTTTTGATATCTTATGCAAATGGGTCAGTTAGAACAATTTATCTAGCTGGAGTAAATTTATATCTTTGATTTGATGATCACAATTTCGTAAGAACGTGTTGGTGCCACTTGACATGCATGAACTATTACATGCATTTATAACTATTGAAATGCTTGATCACTTTGAAAGAAATATTAATTATAGGCTGAAATTTCACTTTACTCATCCATTTGAGAATCTATCAAATAAATGCAGAAATTTCTAAAATTCGATCATTTCTACAATTTCTACCCACATAAGTTTCATTTGTAAGACGTTATCGTTTGTCTCAATTTGAAGTTCTTGTGGCAGATAATTCAAAACTGATGCCTGAACCTGATTTGGTTAAATAATTTTGTACAATAAAGTTCGAAATTAGGAAAAACTGCTGTGTTTTCCGGGTGGGAGCAATGAGTGTGACACAAGGAAGCGTTACTCTCAGGCTGTAACGGACAAGCCTCCATGGAAATCTGGTAAAAGCCCATTGTTCTAGACGTCATGGTTCCTTCTTACGCTTCCTCGAATTCGCAATTTTTTTAGTTTAAGCAAGAAACGTTTACGAATCTTTCTAAGGATTTTCTTCTTTACTTAATATGCATAATAGCTTGCGTTATCGGGCGCGTATCTCATCTTTATCGATTACTTATCCCATATCTGTCTAGCACGTACTATAGTCCTCTTTGCAAAGAAACTATCTCTCATTCATGGGTTCGTAGTCCTCCATTAGCGCTTTATCTCGTTTTATCGAGCACGTGGCTCTCCTTCATCGTGCTCAAAGCTCTCCTTCATCGAGCTCAAAGCACTCCTTCATCGTGCACGTTGTGTCATCTTAATTATATATATTAAGGATGTCACCTTTTGCTGTACATTTTCCTCTTTCTTCCGAGCGATCCTCGCTCACTTTGGTACGGTCACATTTTATCACGAGCATTCACAGTTCATCGGGCGGAGCATTTAGGTTTCGCTCCGAAAACCGTATCCACGCTTAATCCTTGCATTTTGATCCTATCATGTTGCATTTGGTTAATCACAAATTTTAAGACCCCATGCAGCTAGAGGACGTATAAATTATCTTTAATGAGGTTCAGAAATTACAAATATACGAATTTGTTTCAATTTCATACCAGACTTCAATGTTTATTTCCCTAACTATGATAAATTAGACTGACCTTTTTCCGTATGCATCACAAAGAGTGTTTTTAGGAACATCATTCATTACAGAGTTTTCAGATTGTTCCCTCGTGGCAGTGGAGGGTTAGTTGGAGGAGAAGCTCTGCGTTTCCCTTTCACGAAATAAGCTGTTCCATGTCGGATAAATTTTTATTTTACTATGTAAATTTAAGTTTCACTTGCAAGTTGATATGGCTCATCGCCTGCATTACAATGACTTGCACCAAGGATCAGCTTGAGCAAATGAGCTTTCAGTTGGCAGATGTGCTTGGAGATTATGCAAGTCATTAACTTGCATTTCCTTGGGTAAAGTGTTTCTCATTCTGCAGTGCTTTCATTTCAGGTTAAATAAATTCATTAACATTTTACCTCTAGCATTTGTATAATTGCTATCTGGAATTCTTAAAACTGATTTAGCGTAAGTTTTCCTTTCACAAAACTATCAAATCACTAAATATTTTCCATATTGCTTAGACTGCCATCGAAAACGGGTTTGCATTTCCTTTGATAGTTATGATTAAAATTTATTGTTGTGCTATCCTCCAGATGATGGGCAACTGTGCGGTGGCCCAGGTTGTGATGGCCGAAGGTGGCAGCTTCTTGTCCATCAACATGGGCTACGCCGTAGCGGTCACTCTTGGCGTCATGGTGTCAGGAGGCGTGAGTGGTGGACACATCAACCCGGCCGTCAGGTTTGTCCATCATTTAATGTTGTTCAATGTTAAGTTCTTGGAGATTGTAGTTTTGCAAACTCTCATTAGCTTGAGTTGTAATTTCAGAAGGGAAAGTTGAAAAAACGTGTAGAGGAGTATTGTTAAAAATTTATTAAATAATTGATACCTGAATTAATAAACCATGTGATTTAAACTTGTATTAAACATATCGGTTCAAATGGCAGGAATTATTTGTCAATGTAATCAAGTAATAAAGATAATTGTGAATCGATCCACCTAATAACGATGGTTGGCCACTTTCGTGTCATTTGGCACTAGATGTGTTGGCACCTTTATCATTACATGCTACACAGTTTTCGCTATTTAGGTTGTTAACATGTATCGTTGTCAATACTAGCATTTATCAATAAACATTTTATGCCATACCATCTATCACATGCAGTATATACTTTACTCCATTTCAACATTTATAGCAGCTGTACGGAGTATCGAAATATGTTACTCATTTAGCATTCTTCAAAACGCACAGTTGACAATATACACGGAAGGCATTAGTGACGACGTTCCTATGGGTCATAAAAAACCAGCGACGCGATCTGTCACTTTCTCTTTAGGTTACGTAAGGCGATGCTGACGCCGCACTGCCTTCACCTTATTTGTGAACTATTTCTTCAAGTTTATCAACAATATAGCATGCATTTCAAAATATTTATTTGGGCTGGTAACTATACCAGACAAAATCATTTGCTCGTGGTACTCTCATTTTTTTGTGCTTCTTGTTGATGACGTGGGCTAGACATTGGCAATAATTTTGACAAAAACGTTGTCTCTCATTTGTGTTTTTTCTATTAGAGGTCTGGCGTTTTGGATGAAAATGTTGCTCTCAAACAGTGCCTAAAAACCTTATCGCACTTGTACTGTTCCCGTTTATGCAAATGAGAAGAAAACCCAATATTTTGATTTATTTAGCGCTTGTCTTTGTTTCAAGTCTTCGATTCTATGTACAATGTACACCTTGCATCATGCCATCACTTGTGCATCCAAGAAATAGCTCACGCGTTCAGACCGCTTGGGGCAGTCATTCCAAGACAACGTTGTTTTATTTCACATCTTTCCATCCCAGTGATCTGGATATTTTTTTTCGACGATGCAGTTGAAATTTTAGTTTTAAGTGGCTTCACCTTTGTTTCATTTAATGGGTTCACTTGTGAATTCATGAACTGTGTTGAAATTTTAATGTTTTAACATCTTTCCTGTTAGACCTTAGCATATTTCATTTTGCAGTACTAACTTTTCTCAACTACTGAACTTGTACTTTGTCGTAACTTTACTTGTACTTAAACCCTATTTCCCTTACTTTCCATAGTTGTTACTTTACCTGGTGACATGCCCAACATTTGTGTCACCTTTGCGTAAAATTGGACAGAATTTGAACGCAAGTGAAGTTCCTAGTTATAATTTACTTTTAAAAATATATTTAAAAATATTCCTTAAATTATTGCCAGGATTTTGCAATATTTAAAATGAATTATTCATTTTTTATGCATTTCAGTGTGGCGCTGGCCGTGTTCGGCAAGTTCCCGTGGGCGAAAGTACCGATCTTTATAGTGGCGCAGTACACAGGTGCCTTCCTCGGTGCCTTCATGGTTTTCCTCGTCTACAGAAGTGAGTTCTTGACATGACAAATCCAGCCGTGATTTTAGGCTATGTCTCTGTAATCTATTACTTGATTTCATTTGTTCTTTATGTACGGTGTTGCTAACTGGTCGGTAGCACCACTGTAACAGGTTGCTTTTCTTTGCAACCCTTTATTCATTTAGGCAAGTGCATTTATGCTTTATGCATTTAGGCAAGTGAGGTCAAATATATTCTAAATAAAATTTTAGACGGCAAATGAGATTGGATAGTTTACAGAGCTTATTTTGTCAACTTTGCAGACGCACTGGACGCGTTCGACCCTGGCCGGACACTGGCGAGCGCTGGTATCTTCGCTACGTATCCCGGGTCGGTGGTGAACTCAACCGGCGAAGTGGTAGACAACTTCCTGTACAGCGGCAACGGCATGGCAGATCAGGTTCGCTTTTTTTTTGTCAAATTACTGTTCGTGTGACATTGATTCATGCAGGAGGAGATATTGAGATTTGGTGGAATTTCTTAGCGGTTTCCTTGTTTCTTGTTGATCTTGCGGCTTGAGCAAGCTAATGATATTTGTAGTTGCTTACTGGAGGAGTTGATGAATTGTTAGTCTTACTAGGAACGAAGTGATGACTTAGGCCGTGTGGACTCTGATAGTTAAATTTCTTATTTTTTTGTGAATAAACTATTTCTAAAAACTAGTTGAAAATTTCTAATGAACTTTGATTTACTATCACGCAAGCCAATTTCTCTTGCGTGATTGCATAACTAATTCCTGGAACCTGGAGCAATTTTTTACATTATTCAATTATATAGTACGGGGATCACAGTTGGTCGTTAAGATCTGTCTTCTATTATACTGAGCTAAACATATTTTCATGTTTTACTAAGGTACAATTTACAAATAATAATTCCTTCGTCATTAGTATTTTGTGCCACCGAAACATATGTTGTTCACTTGTTATGTGATTCCAGGTTGTGGGGACTGCCATGTTGCTGCTATGCGTATGTGCCATCACTGATCCCCGCAACATGGGGATTCCCAAGCCCATGATCCCCGCCGCCGTGGGCACAGTAGTGCTGGGCATTGGGCTCAGCCTGGGGCTCAACTGCGGGTACGCAATCAACCCCGCCAGGGACCTGGGGCCCCGGCTGTTCACCCTCGTCGCGGGGTGGGGCGCTGAGCCCTTCACGTAAGTCGTATATTGTGGATACCAATGACTTGTAATACAGAATATTTATCGGGCTTTAATTAATTGATTTATAAAAAGCATTTAAAACTGCTTGGGCTTGAGGAATTCTTTGACTGTCTGACTCGAGTTGTGTATGATACATGAATAGATTTTCAGCTTCGATTCTCGATTAAAAACTTTTAAGTGTGCATTCCTGCATTATCTATGGAAATAAAATTATTTTTACTAACATTTATATGATATTAGAAGAATTTAGATGTAAATTATTTGTTCAGAGCTATGACAGCCGATGGGGTGACATGGTGGTGGATCCCTGTGGTCGGACCACACTTGGGTTTGCGCGGAAGGATGGTATTCTTAAGTAAACTTGATAATGGGTCGTTAAAAACTCACGTATGAGAGTATTCCGTAATGAGCGCCAGGAAAAGAGCCAATATCAGTCTAAAGCTGTTCAAAATATATTTATGTCATAAAGATTTCAGGTTATAAACAATTGAGTATCTAATTTATACAATATTGCCTGAATAAGGCCACATTTGATTGGCTTTCATTATATTTGAAACGACCCTAATTTGTGGCAATATTCATGTGAGTTCGTTGAAAGCAGGCGAGTTCATTTTTACCCGTGGTCAAATCACATTTATTTAGTATTTATTTTGTATTTGAAATGGTAATGCAGGGTTAAGGAGTTAACGCCGAAATTTTGAAGGAAAAAACTGTTGGAAATAAAAGTAACTGATATTAATTTTGATAAATCCACTTTAACAAAAGCCGTATAGTCGGCTGGTCATTTTGCTTGCAATGCTTCGTCACCAATAAATATCGTTTACTTTCTACTTACTATCATAAAAATCTGCATAGATAAATAAAATGTATGACAAATTATTCGAATCTAAAAATGCTGTAAGAAAAATAAAAATCTACGCCATTGAAAGTTCCGCGTTGAAAACTAACTTCTTATTCATCAAACCTTAATTTTTTACACTGTTTATACACTAGAAGTATTCATTCCGACATGGAGGTATTTGCATAACTAACTACAAAATTGCATAAATAAAAAGCGTGCTTGAAGTTGTTCTAGGTTTGTCTAATTGACAATTTCTTAACAGTTTGTGTTAGGTGGAACTGAACTCTACTTCCTGGCTTGTTTCAATTTATTGCTCATACCTCATTCAAATAATTCTGATGCTTGCTTCGAAATATTCTAAACATGAATATTTTTACAGCTTACGGCACCAGTTTTGTTAAGCAATGCATCTCGTTTGTCGCTCTCGATAAATATATTCGCTTATTCTTCGAGAATTTGAATTGTATAATTATTTAAAACCTGATTGTGAATGTCATTGTCCATTATTCATCATGACCTAATTTGTTCTGTTTCAACGAATATATTTGATTTGTGTGGTATATATCATGTGCTGCTATGCAATTTATGTGGTGTTGTGTCTAAATGTGGCTTCTTCTGTCACTGCGCAGGCGTGGGACGTCAGGGAACTTATACGCAAAGAAAAGAAGCCAATGGGGTGAGTACCTTGCAGGGGCCCCAGGCTTGGTGTTGTTCTTTTAACTTTAAAATTTTGCCATACTATCAAGTTTGAAGCGCAAAAATTCTACACATTTTTACTTATCGATACTTCTTTTTGCTAAAGAGCATGATTTTTTCTTGAGAAAAGTATCAGAGCTATTGATATAACCTAGTCCACTATAATATTGCCAATTCGATTCATTAGTACCTTATTTATTATTTTGAAGCATTCTTGAAGCCGTCCGCTTTCTAAGCTTTCAATTGCCAGATTCGGAGCTGTTACATTGACTGTTTTGTTAAATTATTTGATTTTGCAACTTGATTTGGTATCTAAGTTTTCATTTACTCGCTTCCGCCTATTCGCTTCAACTTTTCTATTGTGAGTACCTGACTTTATTAATTCTGCCTCTTATAGCTAAAAAATGTATAATTAGACATTGCACATCCTTATTTTTTAATAGGAAGGCGCTATGAAGAATTGATAAATCCGTCAACTCACCCAAACCGGAATGGGGAGGAATTTTCTGGGGGACGGATGCCCATTTTATTACATTTTATATTTTAAAAATTCTTTACTAAATCGGAACGTAAAAAGTCGAAGACTATTATCCGAAAATACTTCGTCATTTTTTCCGAACAATTTCTAAAAGAGCTACAAAATTATTGGGAGCTTGAGCTTCACAGCTTGTAAATAATTGAATTTTATGGAATGGCCGCTCTTCTTAAGCTAATTTTAAGAAGTAGGTTGGAATCGCCGTAGGTAATCTTTGCGAAAATAATACCAAATGGCGACTAACGAATGCCGGTGTGTAGATGAAACGAGATTTGGAAGGTACATTCTATGGACGAGAATCGAAAAATTAACTACTAATGATTAATCACGATTATTGTTTTGCTGAGAATATAATGTACACGTATTTTATTTTTTGGCGTACATTTATTTTTCATTAAAACTAAAATCATTTTTTCTTCAGGTATGCTCTAACATAGCGAGTGTTTAGCAGCGAAGCATCCCTCAGCTGCCCATCACCAAGCAGCAGAAATGCTCAAGTCTCAAGACCTTTGAAGTTACTGAAGTCCTGAACCGCTGAAGCTGTAAATTGATGAGAGATCGCTGGAAAATGGTTGTTGAACCGTACATGACCGAAATTTGATGGTGTTACAAATTATTCCTAAATTATTGTAAAACATAATTGTAAGAATTGTTTTATCGACAATGCAGACTTTGAGTGGATTTGAAAGAAAATTCAGGCGATCGTCAAACATAAGAAATTTAAAATTGTGATAAAACTGGTCTATTCCAATTATTGATACAACAAATACGAATCTAGCTACGTTTAACCTCTTCAATTTGACAAAGCTGAAATTTTTTCTTTATTGCGGAATTCAGTTTAAACCGCGAACTTTTCGCCTAAAGAGAAAACTCGCAACGTTATTTACAAACCATGTACTTTTTTCCTTTGCGCAAATTACAAATTTAGAGCATTCCATTTTGGTAATATTCTATTCACATACTTTTCCGCCCCTTTGCATTCTATTCACAAATTTCGTCTGTTCTATTTACAAATCTTTCTTCCTTCGACGTGCTATTTAGATATCGTTCCTTCACTTAACACTTTTGAAATTTTACAGCCTCTGTAAAAATGTAAAGATGCTTGCAGCTTCCTTCAATCGGTGTTAGCTTCGCTCGCCGGCATACATGTTGTTGTAAATTTAATGTTGCAATACATAAAAATGTTATATAGTTGTGAACTATTCTACTGCACGAATCTTTGGAACTTTTATGTTTTTTCACACGTTGCTAAAGTCGTTTTAGTGAAAGTGTGCAAAATACACTAGTTTTATGTTATTTAGGTATGCATGGGCAATCCATAACTAGTACGTATGTTCAAATCGATCGTATATGGTCTACTTTTGTACAGAACACTAGAGCTCGCACGTATATTCTTGACCTCGAGCGTAGGCACAGTCTACTTAAATTCTGTTAACTGAAAATGTGGGTCCATGTC